ACCTCCGCCAGTTACATTCCCCGATACGCGTGCCCATGTAAAGGTCACATCCTACCAGAGGGCCCATGCCCACACAGTCTGGTGACGGGAGAGAGAAATTAATTGATGAACAAACAAACAAACAAACAAACAAACAAACAAACAAACAAACGACGAAACAAAAAAGAAAAAAAATTTTAAAGGAAGGAAAAGGGAAGGAAAAAGGAAAGAAAAAAAGAAACAGCAGAACAAGCAAAGAACCAAGGAAAGAAAGAAAGAAGGAAAGAAAGAAAGAAAGAAAGACAGAAAGAAAGGACAAAACAAAAAAAGAAATTATTAAGAAAGAAGGAAAGAGGAAAGAAACGTTGAGACAAAGAAAGAAGTTATTAAGAAATAAATTAAGAAAGAAGGAAAGATAGAAGGAAAGAAAGAAAGCTGCATGTTATTAAACACACAAACACGTAGTTGTAAATGAAAGTATTTTACGCCCCCGTCCGTCTAACTTCGTTAAGGAGGCTGGCTGCTTCGACTCTGCTTGTCAGGGCCGACCCTGGCTGAGAGGGATTATAAAAAATCTAAGTAGAAAAAGTGCAACATCAGAAATACAAAATCTAACAATGTTGGCCTTATTGAGTTACTAAGATCATGAAAAGTCCGAATAGCCAAATATTCTATCTGCTCTATCCAAATCGCAGGATTATTCGGAGTGGTTGTCAGGATGCCTCCCAAAGCCCAACCCCAGGTCCACGTGCAGGGAGGTGGAAACTGGACAAAGTAGGGGATTGCTGGGCTCAACGAAGTACGTATGGCTTTATGCCACTGAGGCGTCACGCTAGCCGTTAAAGAGAACCCGGGTCATCCCGAAAAGTTGCAGGCTAACGGGGCTCTGGTGAAACTGTGACTGGCCTAGCAAGTCGGCAGCGGATTATTTATTGCTAAAAACACAAAAAGAATAAAGAAACGGACTGACATAGACGGAAAACGACCCGGAAACGTTAAAGGATTACGAGAAAGGATTTGTACTCTTAACATCTGTGGCCTCAAAAGACAAGGAACCAGAACTCATTACCTTCATGAAAAGGTGGAGAATACCCATAATTGGACTGTCGGATTGCCGTTTAAAAGGAAGTGGGACCAAGAAAATTCATTAAAATTGCATACTAATATGGAGTGGAGAAGATATGAGAGAGAAAGCTATTCAAGGTGTGAGAGTCATAATACAACCTGACACGGCAGAAAGAGTTATAGAGAAAGAATTAATATCAGAAAGGATCTTGAAAATCAGAATACAGGGAATATATCATTCAAGTTTTCTCCCCTTGTAACGACACATACTCAAGGGAAGATAAAGAAGATTTTTTTCAGAAGTTGGCGGACACCATAGACAGCGTACCTGATGAGGAGGAACTAATCATACTGGGAGACTTCAATGGACACGTAGGCCCAAGAAGAACACCATAGGAAAACTACCTTGGACCACATGGTGACACCAGTTCAGATTGTAACTATTGTGGGGAACAACTTTTTGCTCTCTGTGCAGAGTATGAATTATACATCACAAATACTTTTTACCAGCACAGGCCAAGTCAAACTCAGTCGTGGTACAAATGGAACAACCTAGTTTATCATATATATGGATAGAATTACAAAAGAGGCCAATACAGAACCAGACGCCCTAAATGAATTACTCTTCGCTGATGACCAAAACCTGGCACACAAAGATGAACGAAGTCTTCAACACCACAAAACCAGATTAAACTAAGAATTTAACAACTACGACATGAAGATCAACATCAACAAAACAGAGACAATGAAAGTAAGCAGAAAGCTAGATCCACTCAGGATACAGAT